GTCAAAAAAGAATTCAGAGACACTGGATTGACTGGCATTCATAATTAGCTTGCCTGTGTGGACTGTACTTCGACAAGAAAATTTCCATTCCCGTCTCGCATTCAGGATAAATGGGCACATGTCACTCTCCTGTGACTAGACATATTCATTATTGAAGAAAGGCCGCTCAGAATCTATCACATCTTTCCCCACTTCAATCACAGAAACCTGGCGAGTCAGTGAGACCGATTGAAGATAAGGTCCACTTGACATGTCTTTGTCCATCTCGTGCCCTACTTATGACTCATGTTCGATGCAGCAACACTTTCTGCCTGGGACAATTGTATTCTTTGCGCGTCAGTACTATTCATGGACCACATATCTCCGTCGTGGGGCAAGAGAGACATGCTTTATGCCCCAAAGGTTGACTATATCGGCTAGACCGCAAAATGTTAATTCCTGCAGTGATATTCGGCATTTCAACGGCCCATATTACTATTTATGGTACAGTAGCTTACGTTGGGAGCGTTCGGATTGTAGAAACTGAGACCTGAACTGTACTGAAAATAGCTGTACAATATTATATGAATCCAGTCACCCCCTCACCATCTGCCACTTTGTAGTGTAGCCGTAGCAACTGAAGGACTTTTTTGTAGAATATTTTGCAACAATACCTCAGAAATATAGTATATCCTCCTAAAAACTTCAGCTGCTACGGTGGACGGTATGTAGTTTTAACTTCCCCTCGACAGGTCTTTCTTTATCTCTCATCACCGACGGGTAAACCACTGCTGGAACAGTGGAAGTCGGTTGCGTCTGTGTTGGAGGAGCTGTTAAAGCAGTTTTTTACGCCACACCAAACGCATGAGGCTCTCGCTCTTAAGCTCCACCTGTTGGCTTGTTGCCTAAGGCGTGCCGGTGAGTTCTACGATTCCGAATGTTCAAAGCCGGAGGTTGAGCCAGCCGTTAAGCAGAAGGAGCCCGTCATCTGCTTGGAGCCGCTGATCAAACAATTCCTACGAGGAGGAGATCCTCACGGCCTGCCAATGGGTATTTCTTTCTCTTTGCAGTTCCATGCTCACCTTGTGTAATCTTACTAGTCTGCTCTGCTTGCCGAAATTAGAATCAATTAAACCAATTTGCTTGATAGCGTGCAGCGTTCGCCACCAACGCCATTAAAACAGTCACCTAGTGTCCATAGCTGCAAATCCACCCGAACCATTTGTATCCTTCCAGAGATGCAGGGATATATGAAAACCGAAACTGTTTTCCCCATAACATAAGTCACACCAAGTCTCAGGAAACAACTTCCCATTTACCTGGTTTCGCTGCGACTTTCAAGACATTCAACAGAAGTGCTTTCTTGTGTGCCATGGAGATTGATGATAAGCTTTCAAGATTTGTAAGCATAGTTTCAGGCCCGTATCTGTTACTGTTTCCTGTCTATGCCTCTGATGATGAATCTGCAGCGGATCTGGAAACGTCAGGTAAATAAAAAATGTTGTTCGAGCGATCGAGTCTCTTCTTGTTACTCCTAAGCATGATGATGGCGCAAATCATGCGAACAAAATTTCAAGGAAGCAGTAGGAGAAGCCAGTATTTACTTGTCTGAATTGATAAGAGATCTCCAGGCATCACAGCTTGTTCG